CAAAAGAATTAAGATCCAATCTAAGGTCAACACAAGCGAGCAGGTCAAGAATCAAGATTTGACTCTAGAAGGCACGTGGATAGGAATTTTTGTACTCTTAGTTTGCAGACAAATGTAGTGCTCTTCTCTTTTTCTTTTGATGTAAGAAGCAGTAATGGTAAGAGTAACAGCAACAGCAGCAGCAGCAGCAACAACAGTCTTAACTCCAGTGTCTGGTAGTCCCACCTACCAAATTTTCCCAGAACTACACTGACCTGATTCCTTTATAGCCAAGGATATGTAGGCAACCTCAGAAGCAAGGTTCGGTCACCACCTTTTTCAAAATGCTTCCACTAGAGTGAATGTGGGCAAAAAATTATCCATGGCATTTATTTGTCTTTGCACGAAAACTCTTCATGTTCTCGAGCAAAGAGGGGCAGCTATAAATGCCTAATTTGTGCCTTATATATATATAATATATATGTATGTGTGTGTGTGTGTGTTTGTTCTTATTTGTGTATGTATAGATTTTAAGAGTTGAGTAATGGTTTGGTAAATGGGGTAGGGTTTGGGCTAGTGTAATTTAATTAAAATTGTGCCAAAATTGACCTAAAATTTGAGCCCAAACCCGGTCCAAAAGGGGGCTGCCAAGAAGAGCTTAAAATGACGTAGTTTTGTCTTGAAACTACGTCGTTTTGGTTAAGTGACAAGATTCAATCTCATCCACCCATCTTGATTTAATCCAACGGTCCTAGTTTGATCTTCATCCTAGGTATTTAAAGCCTAAAATCCCCAAAAATTTGCCCCATTTCCCCATTATTTCCTCTCTCTTCTTTCCTTCTCATCACTCTCTCTTCTCTCTCCCCCCAAGCCGCTGCCGCCACCTCACCGTCGCCGGCGGACCACCTCCAAATAACTCCAAATTCACACCATGTAATCTCCACAACTTTCTCTTTCCATATCTCCAAACCGAATCCTTCAAAAATCCCTCAAACTCCTTGAATCTTAGATCTAGGAAACTTTCTCGTCACTTTTTTGCCCAAATTATTGAAGCTCCAACCACTACCACCCCGCAATACCTACATCAATGGATAGAGCTCCTCAAGACCTAGCTATTGATGTCAATTTCACCCTGAAAATCCGGCGACCAAAATCAGGCCAAATTCCGGCGACCTCCCCGAACACCCTCTTTTGGCATACCACCATTTTTTCGGCCACTTGAATTGTAAAATGGTAAAATCCTATTCTTTTTCATGGCTGATTTTTTATTTTTATTTTTATTTTTCAGCTTTTATTTTTTATTATTAATTATTTTAGCATTAGTTTTTGAAGTTTTACAATGTTAAATTTTCTGTTTTTGCACTTGTTGAAGTAGTAAAATAGCTTTGTGTTGATTAAAGTGAGGTAGTGAGGAAATGCTTGAGAGTATATGGTAAAATCGTAATCCTTCCCCGTTATTAATTTTTTGATTTATTTTAGTTAAAGTTAGTTTCTATCTTGTTTCTTCATTTAATCCATTTTTGATTATGTTTGTCTAGTTGGTCTTATTAAGTCGCTCCAGCGATAGCGTGCATTTCGTTTGGCTTTAACAGTTAATTTTTGTTTTCTTACGATTGGTTCGTAACACATGTGTGAAGTTTAATTACATGTTTTAATACTTGGTTTAGTTTGGATCAACAGGGTGATATTGATGTTGTTAAAATCTGAAGTTTATGTTATTTTATCACAAAATAGGGTGCTAGTAGCCTACTTTTACTAGTTATGGTGGATGAAATGATATTTTTTTTTTTCTCTTTGTTTCTGACATAGTAGATTTCCTTTGACCTTTGGACAAATTTTAAACAGTGTTTAGCACACAATGTTAGTTTTTGTCGGACAGACATTTGGTGAACCAAAATCTGTCCAAATTTGCCTATTTAAGGGCTGCCCTTTCCTCACTTTGGGGGGACTCCATCACACTTCCAGGGGGCATTTTTTATAATTTCTTTGTCACAAAAACAAAAAAAATTCAGCAGTTGAACACATGAAAAGTAAGCTGAAATAGTGAGCTTTGGGAGTGAATCTTAGAGTGCAAACTTTTAAAAAAGTATAAGTCCTCTTTAGAGTTCGTTTCTGGGTTCCCTCTCTTAGTTTTCGGGTTGTTTTAACTAGGATTTGCTGCTGGTTTTGCTGCTGTTTCGCTGCTGGTTTTATGCTACTTTAGTTGTTGAACTACTATTTATTCTTTTGCTACCAGGTAATCCTTTAAGACTCGTAATGTACGTATTTTCAGCAATGAAAACAACTTGAACATGTTGCACCATTTAAATGTGTTTGATATGATGAATAGCTTGACAACAAAAGAGCTTGTATGTTATTGTTATGTATCAAGCATGTGATAATGTGAATATAGTCCTTCATAATACTTGAATATTGAGTTGTAAGTTTTTGAATGTGATATGTAAGTCGTTTATGGATTTTTTAAGCATGTTTTCAAGCTATTATATCCGAGTAACAATGCTAAGTATGCCATGAATGACTTTAGGTGTATAACACATAGCATGAGTTCGTTTTAATTGTTGAAATTTTACTGCCAACATATGCTTCTAGGAATGCTGTGATAATATCTTTGTGAATCTGGCCATTTTGCCGGATTTGCAAAAATGGCTATTTTTGTAAAGTGGACGTTTATACAATTGTGACTATGTAGTTAATGGTCATGAACTCAAACTAAGTAAAGAGCTAAGATTGTATCAACTTTGGGCCTTATTGAATCAAAGATAAAAGTTGGCTCATTTACCTTTAAACAACAAAATTACCCCTTTTCTTCTATATAGCATTGGGCCAATTGAAATTCATTTCTTGGCCCATTTTAATAATAAATTCCAGCAGCCCAAAAGCTCCATACAAGCTGGCCCATTTGTTTTAACAAGAAGTTGGCTCATTTCTTTTAAAATAGATAAAGTTGGTCCAACATTTATTTGCATAATTTTTCCCAACTATAAAGCTCGAAAAAATAATAATAATAATAATAATAATAATAATATCAAATTTTTCTACTGTTTTAATTAACTAGTTTCTCTTTAATTAATTTAAACGTTAGGCAAATTGTAGGTGCGCTTTAACTTCACGGACTCACTTGTGTAGCGTGACGCTTAACTTTTAATAAGTTAATTCATCAATTTCATGTCATATTCAATAGTTTTAATTAATTTATAAATCTTTTGTCATAATCACGGATTCGCTTGCGTAGCGTGGTAGTGACATTTAATAAATTTTCTGAAAAAAAGAGGGTTAATGTTTCCTCCAACACAATTGCAGCAATTTTTCAAAAGTAAATAACGTGCTAACAATCGTCTGTCATGACTGCGGATTCGCTTGCGTAGCGCCGTTATGACTAAATAATAAATTTCGTCGATCACGCATTCGCTTGCGTAGTGTGGTTATGACATCTTATTATTCAAAAATATTCTTTAATTTTTTCTAATAATCAAGAGATAAAAGAGGATAGGTAAAACATGAAAATAATATAAATCACAGTTTGTCCAAAATTAATTCAAGCCAAGTTTAAGTCAATAAAGCAACCGTGCTAGAACCACGGGACTTGGGGAATGTCTTATACCTTCTCCCCGGTCAACAGAATTCCTTACCCGAACTTTATTTTCGTGGACCGATTAAAATAGAGTCAAACCTTCCTTTGACAAGGGATCCAAATAAATGGTGACTTGGAACACCGAAAAAATCAATTCTAAGTGGCGACTCTGAACAATAAAATAATCCCTATTCAAATTTTGTCACTTTAATTGGAAAAACTCTTTGGCCCATACACATATTATTATTATTTTGAGGGGTAGAAAANATCCCTATTCAAATTTTATCACTTTAATTGAAAAAACTCTTTGGCGCATACACATATTATTATTATTTTGAGGAGTAGTAAAGGGGTGTGACACTTGGTCATCTTTAAAGAAGCTAACATGGTTTCTTCTTCTTCTATTAGAGACACTTATATGGAAAATTTTTGTGTTTATGTCCTCATCATTGAGCCAGAAAATTCATGATCTAAGTCTCCAATAGTCTTCTTCTAGTTTTAAGATATTATTGAAGTCATATTATAGAGAGGATTCTAGGCTTTGGAGAAAAGAACTATGAGTATAATTGAGAGAGTTTTGGATACCCTTAAGGCAAGCCAGAATTCTCTTTTTTCCTTTTAGAATATCTCCAAAAGTTTCTTTACTCCACTTAGAGATGTTATTAGTAAAATTTTGAGTGGCTTCGAAGAGGTTATTTTTAAGCCAATTTTAACATACCAAATTAACAAAATCAGGGTGTGTGCACCAATATTTTCTAACCTAAACATGAATAGATAGTAAAGACTAAGGTGTGGATTGTTGAAAATTTCTAGTTGTCTGAAGACGTCCCTAATCAGACTATATATTAAATGTTTGATATATTACCCTTTAGAACTCTATGTTTGAAAAATATATAATATTATACTGTAGTCATACTCCAATTCTATTCAAATATTTTTTTGTAAGTCCTCTCATATCCAGCTCATAAGATTAGATCACTGCAAGTGAGGAGTGAATCTTCAAACATAAACAATAAAACTTCTTGCCAACTTTAACAAACATTACAAATCAAATCAAGTGAAAATGTCAACCACAACATAAATTATTTTGAATTCAACAACACCACTACAACAGTAAAACATTAACAACAACAAGAGAAGATAATCGGAAAGAGATACATAATAAGGACAATACAAATTTTCTTGTTACACCCCATGAACACGACCAAGCAAATAAAGCCAGCCTGTAGTTTATTTGCTGAATGAGTACTGTTCGTATCTCATTGAGCAATCAACAAATTCGACTTGACCTCCAATATTACCAGCACAGACAGTCAACAAGTAAGATCTTGCATTACGTACACAAATGGCACAGTAGCCTACATTTGAGGTGCAAGTAGCATGGCCATAAGCTGGAGCATTATTAGGATAAGGAGAGGTTACATAGTAATCATAACCTTGAGTTAATGGAGTTTCATCCCTTAACGATGCAAGAACATAATTCAAGCTATTTGCAAATGGATCATCATAATGATACACACCAGTATTGCATAAATGGTACACTAATTCTTCGCTATCATTTGGTTCGCTTTTCACTAAACAACTAAACCCTAAAATTCCAATAAGGAATGTGGCTAATATTGTCATTCTAAAAATAGAATTCATGGCTCCTTCTCTAATATTTTTGTATCTTTTAATCTTCTCTTTGTTTTGTGTTACAAATTTGAGATCAACATGTCCTTGTTTAAATAGATTAGCCATCCATTGATTTCACCACCAATGAAAATTAAGTATTCTGTGATTTTGTTTCTTTTTTATATGTACGTATATATATTCTGCCGGCAAATTAAAAGAGCAGTGTATTATGTATACATGCATCTTTTTTCTTGTCCCAATAATTTCACATTTTAATATCTTAATTTCTTTAAAAAATTCTTAATTCTTTGCTTTGATAAACTTTTACATACCTACTCATTAGTCATTACAAAGCGTTAGTTTGAGTGTCCTTATGAATTACTAAAGAATTTGTTTCTTTACCGTGTTCCTTAAACATGAAGTAAACTAAGCAGTAAAGTAAACACAAAGATTTTTATGTGAAAAATCACCCAGCTCAAAAGGTGCAAAAATCATGACCTGCTGCGTAGGATTTTCAACTTCGACTCTACTAGAACAATGAGCCAAAATGTATCAATTACAAGACTGTAATTCAATACTCACTATTTGATTTACAAGTTACTCTAACTTGTAAAGCAAACACTCACTCCAACTCACTAATTGTTTGTAAGACTTTGATTACAACTCAATTTTCTAAAACACATTCACTAGACTGACTCAAGAAGGACACAACACTGGTACTCGACTAGAGTGTACAAAATGTAGTTCCTCAGATGTATAAAAGGATAATCTCAGAAGTCCAAAATAGATTGTATTTAAATGTCTGGACTTCAAGATCTTCTAGGAGTCTTATGCATAGTCAGCTTCACGTTTGATAGAACTTCTACTGTTCCAAGGACTCCACAAGTTTTAGGACTCTTGTCTCTTACTGATTTATCCGTATATTCTTGTGCAGCAACCCTTATCACATGTAGCAGCCTTTTTCCACTAAACTCGGACCTGGGTAACTTTGAGATAAAGTTACTATCTTGCACCGACGTTCAATCATCAACTTGAGGAACTGGTTCTTTACCCTGAGAAGATGGTTCTTAGACAGTTAAGTATCTACGTCGAGGACCTGGTTCTTCGAGCATTGTATGTAACTAAACTTTGTTAATCATCAAAATCTCAAAGCATTATTTGCGTCTAAACAAACTTTGTTAATCACCAAAATCTCAATACTAAACACAAAGAGTAAAAATCCATGTATAACTAATACATGCATGACTTATGCAATTAGAGAGCTATATATTTTTTTATGCGAAGAATGTCGAATAAGAATGTATGTATTAGCAATACAATGATAAGATAATTTTTGACTTGGTATCATTTTTCCTGCATAATAATCTACGTATGATATGATTTATATATCGCAAAATATTTCATATATTATTATGCACTGTAAAACAATATATCAACGTATTATTATAATCAATGCATAATTTGTCCATGAATCATGAAACGACCCCTAAGTGCTGAAGATCTTACTTCCGTTGCGCATATATGCCGCCAACATATCAATATGTAGTATCAATATCCTAATTAATTACTATAAAACAAGTTAATAAGACAGTAATTAGACAACTTAGTTATGATTGGTTAAGAAATCAATGCAATCGCCACCTCTATTTAAACAACTAGTTAAGAAACTCAAACTTGTAACACCAAAAAAAAAAAAAAAAAAAAAAAAAAAAAAAAAAAAAAAAAAAAAAGAAGAAGAAGAGAAAAGTCAAGGATTCCATTTTAAAAGAATAGAGTGTTAGCAACATTTCTTATAATTGGAATGTTAGGATTTAATTGTTTTGTGAGAAGTGAACCAAATACAGACGTGTTGACTGTTGAGTATGAGAAGAGTGGTCCTTTTAATTTGGACTAATCTTGGCTTATATGTTCTTATAGTATTAAGGAATGAGACTCCATTAACTCAAGGTTATAATTACTATGTAGCCTCTCCTTATCCTAATGATGCTTTAGCTTATGGCCATTCTTCTTGCAGCTCGACTATAGCATATTCAGACTGTGACACTTGTGTAAAAAATGCAAGATCTTGTTGACTATTTGTGATGGTCGTATTAGAGGTAAATTAAGTTGATTTAGGTGATTGCTCAATGAGGTATATGAACAATACTCATTCAGCTAAAAACAAAATATACTCTACGAAAAGTAAGTTCCAAATCCTTCTCTTTTCCATATGATAAAATAAAATACATTTTAAAATATTGGTCAATCTAAATTTCGAGAAGCGAAATGTATCACGTAAATTG